AAAATCGATATGGTAATTAAACTAGAGTACTATTTATATTTAATATATATATTTATAAAGTTCCTAAATTATTTATATTGAGATTAATTTATGTATGATTGTTGAAATATAGTAGTATTTTTATATATTGAATTTATATATAGAAAGAAATTTAATTTAAAATTATTAAGATTAAGATTAACATATGTGGTTATTGACATGTATAGTTATTAGCTGATATGTTAATATACTTTGTTAAATTTAAATTCAAATTAGGTAATTAAATGATGGATGACCGTAGTTGGATAGATCGTCGTGCAGATGATAATGGTTTTGTTATCGATGAATTTAAAGAGGGGCTGCAATTTTTTGTGAGATTTGCATTTTCAAGACCAAAAGCAAAATCAGAGATTAAGTGTCCTTATTTGAAATATAAATGTAGAAAATTGGGGAATCTTGAGGTTGTCTCTATGCATTTGTGTAAGCATGAGTTTATGAATAACTATTATACATGGTATGTTCATGGAGAGACATTCAGCAATATAGTAAGAAACTTTGAAGGGGAATCTTCTAATATAGAGTTTGTTAGAAATGAGGTAGATGCATTGTACCATGAAATGGTGCAATGGGTGTACAGTTTGAATAAAATGAGGGGCCAACGGCTAAGGAGCCGAATAATAAGGCAATAGAATTTTATGATCTCTTGCATGCTGCAGAAGTTTATATAAGTGCTGGGGAACAGAATGTTACAATACTTTCATGGATGACAGAAATGCTCAACATGAAAACTCTTTATAATATGAGTGCTGTTAATTGGGAGATGACATTGTCATTGAGTCGAAAGTTGTTGAGTCTAGAGGACCAAGAAATGGTGCCAAAGGATTTCTATAGTGCCAAAAAAATGATAAATGTGCTTGGACTTGGGTACAAGAAAATTGATATTTGTGTCAATGATTGCTTCTTGTGCTATGATGAGCAAAGTAAGAATTTAACTGCTTGTCCAGTGTGTGGAGAATCTCGTTATGAGCCGAGGAATATGTCTACTATAAGGCAGAAAGATGTTCTAAGAAAATCTTTGTGGTACCTTCCAATTACCCCAAGATTGAAGTGACTATACATGTCTAGGAAAACAGCAGAGCATATGACATGGCATTTGAAATGCCGTGAGGATGCGGATGAAGTTATTCACCCTGCGAGTAGTGAGGCATGGAAACACTTTGATGAAACCCACCCAACATTCGTTGATGAACCTAGAAATGTTAGACTTGGCCTCTGTATAGATGGTTTCAATCCATTTGGTTGCTCTGCAACACTTTACTCTTGTTGGCCTATTTTTCTTACAGTGTACAACCTTCCTCCTGAATTGTGTATGAAGTCAGAGCATATATTTCTTGCCATGATAATTGCTAGACCTAAAAGTCCAGAAAAAAACAGTGAGGTCATGCTTAGGCCATTAATTGATGAACTTAAGGAATTGTGGGCAAATGGGGTTGAAACTTATGATAGTTTCAGGCAATAGAATTTTATCATGAAAGTTGCATTACTATGGACTATAAGTGATTTTCTAGGTTATGGCATATTATCTGGATGGAGCACACATGGGAAGTTGTCATGCCTTTATTGCATAAAGAATACTAAGGCTTTTCAACTTCAGTATAGGAGGAAAACATCATTTTTTGATTGTCATCGTCAATTTTTACCTCCTAAACATCCATTTTGTAGAGATAAGAAAAATTTTTATCTCAATAGAGTTGAAAAAAGTCGCCCACCCCCCTAAGACTAGATGGTACTTTGATGGAAGAAAAGGTTAATCAGTACCCTGATATAGTCTTTGGCCAGCAACTTCGTAAACATTCAATTGCAGGATTTGGTGTTTTTCATAATTGGGTGAAACGTAGTATATTTTGAGAATTGCCATATTAGAAAGATTTATTGATTCGTCATAACCTTGATGTCATGCATTATGAGAAGAATTTTTTAGATAACATTTAAAATATTGTCATAGATGACAAGGGTTGTACGAAGGATAACACCAGTGCTAGATTGGATCTACAACTGTATTGCAATAGATCTGAATTAGAATTGATACATCAAGATGATGGAACAGCTATAAAACCCAATGCTACATATGTTTTTACTCGAGAGCAACGAGCTCTTATTTGTCAGTGGTTGAAGGAATTGAGATTCCCATATGGGTATGTATCCAACATAGCATGATGTGTTAACATGCAGGAACTTTGATTGTTGGGATGAAAAGCCATGATTGTCATGTATTCATACAGCGTCTCTTGCCAATTGTTTTTTGTGATTTCCTCATAGATGAAGTTTAGGGTCCCTTAATTGAGATTAATAACTTTTTTAGAGTTTTAACTGGTTCAATTATTCAAGTCAGTAACATGAAGATGTGGGAGGAAAAAGTTGTTGAGATCATTTGGAAGTTAGAGAAAGTATTCCCGCCAACATTCTTTGACTTGCTGGAGTATTTAGTTATCCATCTACCATATGAGGCAAAAGTTGAAGGACTTGTCCAATTTTGTTGGATGTATTCTTTTGAAAGGTATATTTCTTTGAATATATCTTTGCATCACAATAACATTCATGAGTATATTTAATAATTTAATGTTATTAATTAATTTTCTTATTTGTTTAACAGAAAAATGCATGACCTTAAGAAAACAGTGTTGAACAAAAATCGTGTTAAAGTTTCGATTTGTGAGTCTAATATTCTTTCAGAAATTACCTTCTTTTGCTCGCATTATTTTGGATCTGACATAAAGACAAGATTGAATCGTCAACCAAGAAACATTGTCGGCGTGAATGATGATATGGATAATTGTTTGTCTGTCTTTAAACATTGAGGTGAACCACTAGGTGGAGAAATGTGTAGGCATGCACTGTCACCCAAAGAATTAAAGGAAGCAAAATTTTATGTTTTGCTTAATTGTCAAGAAGTTAACCCATGGATTGCGTATGTTCTCTAGTTCTAACTCATTTATTTAAGTTACTTGTATGTATAGATTGTTTACTCCAACTTCTTCATGTCGGCTTTTGATTATCAAGTATGTTCCAGTCTATCAAACGATCAAATTCAAATCAAACGGCAAGTTGAATTTATTTCTTGGTTTAAGATAACGGTAAGTAATTTATTTTAATAATTTTTATTATTAAGATCTCAATTTTTATATATTTTAAGGTTAAATATTAAATATTTTTATAACAAATGTAGGTGCGTAGTGGAAGATATGAGGTTGATTCTTGCCTTTTGCCTTTAGGAACTGGCCCAGTCTGTAACGTTAGGGTATACAATGGTTATTGAGTCAATGGATTCCGGTTTCATACTATCACATATGGACAAAATAAAAAGACCAGGTGTTTGTGTGAAGGGAATCACTTTCAATGATGAGTCAAATTATTATGGGAGTTTGAAGGAAATAATTAAGCTTCAGCATTTTGACTCATATGTTCGTCAATCAGTGATTTTGTTCAAGTGTGAGTGGTATGGTATCAACAAAGGCATCGTGGTCCATCCGACATTTGGTATAGTTGACATGAATCCTCGATTTAAATTACAAACAGATGAACCATTCATATTGGCCAGTTAAGCTCAACAAGTGTTTTATGCCCGTTACCCATCTCAAAATTCTCGTAGAAAAGGGTGGCTTGCTGCATGTAAGATTAGAGCAAGAGCAATAATTGACACGTCATCGTTGAGTGATAGTGGAAATGTTTATTATCAAGACGATGATCCTCTTATGCCACAATTGGTGCAACCCTCGACTCTTTTAAATGATCATGTTTCACTAGCATCTCAAGGGGGAGAACAAGTGGTGATTAGTGAGGTCATGCAATTGTCATATGTGGCACAAGAAGAATGTGTGGGTGAGGACGATGATGAAGAGGAAGAGTTTGATGGAACAGAAACATCGGAAGAAGAAGTTCCAAATTACTTAACCGAGAGTGATAGTGACTAAATGTATCTTATTTGATTTTTTTAAATAATTGAACAAGGGATGAAGGACTACTTATATTTTCTTTATTATAGGTTTCCATTAATGACTTTTATATTTGTATTTATATCAACATACATTTATAATTCTTTATATTGATATTTATAGTGAAGTTATATTTATATATTATTATATTTA